CGGTGAGGGACACTTCCGACCGTTTCCTTGTAAATATAAATTTTTAACTTTTGTACTACAATTTACTTTAGAAAAAACATGTGGATTTCACTGTTTGCAATCTCAAGTATGATTTGCAAATTTGCTGCAATATTGCTTGATTTTGATATTTCAAATATTTTTTGTAAATGCCAAAATAATACGAACGTCCAAAGTTAGCATGTCCAGGAATTAATACTTTTATCTTATATGTTATGTTTTCATCAATTACATCGTTTATTTTGAATTAAAATGTTTTACATAAAATATGTATTAGATATTATTTTCATTATTAAAGTCAAAGAAGCTTTAATTTGATTAATAATTTATAAAACGGAAATGGCTATATTTTGTTAAATAAAGCAAATTTTATTACATAAAACGACTAATTCTTTTTATACAATCATTCGCTTGTTTCATTCTCATTTATTGTATACTTTTAGTGTATACACATTATATTATTTTAATCTACCTAATAGCCATAATAAACGATTTATTAACAAAATTTTTAACCAAATGTTATTCGGTAATAACTTGTTTTTCATTGTATTACTCATTGTTAATATTAATGAGTATTTTAGACGAATATTTTCTTTCAGAATGTAGCCTGTCAAGTCCTTAATTTATTCATCAAACTGCATATCTAGCTTATTGCTGTACTAAGCTTTGGTGTAATAACTGCTGCAGGTTTAAACACAAGTATGTTACTCTCAACTTGAGACTTAATTCTGGGGTTATTCTCAAATGATGATTCTTGAGCACTCATTTGAGTGTTACTCTCAACTGTAGAGTAACGCTCAAATTAACTCTCAAGTTGAGAATGACATCGACATAATTCTCAAGTTGAAGATAACACATCAACATTCAAGTATAAGGTTTACACTTAAGTTGAGTATTATATTCAGTTGAGTGTTCGAATTTGCATATTATACTCAAATTGAGTGTTATTTTGAGTGTGTTTTTGTGTTTTTTTCGTAAGAGATTACATCCAATTATTTGAAAGCAACACCACAAATCATAAAGACACCAAACATTGACAGTTATTTCCAGCCCAAATAAAGTTTATACCCAACTATTTGTAAATATAACACCATAAATCATATCCATATACACACAGATTGACAGTTACATTCAGCGGACACTCAATTGTTTGAGGGCAACACCGAACATAATACATAAAATAAACGTCATACCTAACTATTTGATGGTAATACCTACAATGATCCTAAAATTGATGGTAAACCTTCAACTGACATTCAATGACACCAATTATTTTTGTCAATAACAAAAATTTTGGTATTGTCTATTTTTCATAAGGATAAGCACGACAGATGAAGAAATCCACAATCTAATCATAAATCTGAAAAATTGTATGCGTGGAAGAAAGAGAGTTATTCGACACAGCAATTCAAATTAAAAAAAAATGGCCAAATCATCAGCAAAAATTCATAGTTTAATAAGTTCTCTAAAGTTTTGATATACCTATTTATTTTGTACGTTCACAAAATTAGTAGGATATTATCATATTAGTTATTTTAGCAACGTATATGTAAATCCATTTGATATAACCGATATAATGTGGACAATTACATATATTCCAAAAAATTCCTTGTAATAGATATATTTTTATACAGTCTTCAAGACGTTTATAAAACATCTATCAGTTACGTTTTAAAAATGTCAGAAATCAGACGTCTATCAGACATCTATCTGTTGTATGCTTATTATGTGAATACATTTTCTCATAATTCTCTGACACGTATATTTTATTTGTTAATTGTTGTAGCAACAGGAGAAGTGTTTGAATTCTTTGGATTATTATTACAAAAGAGGAGGGCCAATAAGATTGACTTTTGGGCCAGAGCGTCACATTTTTCTATTGCATATTTATGTAGTTGAGGCTGAGAGCTTTCCAAAACACCCTATGAAAAACCTTTTACGTTGGGGAAAGTGAAAGTTATAAGTCCTCAAAGATTAAGAAACATAGGTATATAGGAAGCATGAGAATTATGAAGAATTATGAAGATCTGATTTATGATTTTTTGTGCTAAGCTGCCTTAATTGTGTGCGTGTGCGTGCGTGCGTGAGTGCGTGCGTGCGTGCGTGCGTGCGTGCGTGCGTGCGTGCGTGCGTGCGACAGGTTGAAAATATATACCATGGTACATGTGTTTGTTATTTTACCTTCCTCTTTTTAAATACGGGTTTGGGACTGTCTATAACAGAGTTACTTCTTTTTGTTTTTTATTTATATTTTTTATGTTTTGTTGTTTCTTTCGTCATAAAATGTATTTTTTGCACGTGTTGGAATTCGACGGCAGTTAAGAGGAGTCAATGTTTGATGATTCTCCTTCTGTCCAACATGAAGAAACATCCAAGACAGAACTATTAAACTGTTGAGAAGGTTTGTGTGTGCTGATTCGATTGTGTCGTGCATATCCAAGATACCATAAGACACTGGCTACATGAGCACAGCATCCCATGACCCTTGCACCAACCTTGCACTGACAATACCAACCGCCAACTGGATTTATTCCAACGTTAAACTAAATCCATAAATTGTAAACTTTTGATGACATATGGCGAGATTGGATTTGTACTCGAATTATGGATCTTTCCTGTCGATGGATAAAAATTGAGTACAATCTATCGTGATAAATGTTCGTCAGTGTATGACTTGGCCTGCTTAATTTGGTACACACCCAGTGTCAGTGATATCAATTCTTCTAAAGTGAGTTTTGGAAAGTCGCTTAGAATATCACCCGATAATGCTTCCCAGATGACTCGCTTTCTTGCCGAACCCTCACGTTTGATAAGCTCTTGTAAATGATTTGGCTGTGATGCTAATTGTAGCATACGATTAGCAATTGTTTCATCTTCTGGCTTATCCTTGACACGCGGAGGTCGGAAGGCGTTACACAAAGCGCAAACAATTCGGACATAGTCACCAATATACGGTATTTGACTACTTGGAAAGACTTGGTCAAGGGTCCAAGTCTTTATTAAGCCTGCTTTAACAACCCACCGTATTTTAATGACTAGTCTCGATTCATTTGTTTCAAGACTACTGTGTTGCGCGCCTTTTTCTAAAAAGTGTGGCATCTTAGAAATAAGTTTAAGGTCTTCAAGTAAACCAAGAAAATCTCTAAAACTGCGATCAACGATAAAAATGTCACTATCTTCTAACTACTAGCGCAATTTTGTAGAATCAGGTCGAAGCAATGCAGTGAAAATATTAGCGTCATTATTTTTCCCATTAGCAAAATATGGACCTAAAACATCTATAATGTATCCGGTAGTCGTAACTATCATCATTGGTTTAACTAAGGGCAGATTTTTATGTACAGAAAACGTCTTCCTTTGAAACGAATAATTAGAGCTGTTTTGAATATTTATGTAAGTTCCATCGGCTACCAGAATAGCTGCGTCTTGGTCGTTTGCAAATAAGGTTTTAGCCATTTTTGTTGTGTGTTTCGTTATAACTTCATCACGAGAAATATGACCAATCCCAAGATATTGTGGAACAAAATATGTGCTTAGAGCTTTCCTTGCAGTTGCAATGGTTTTTCCAACTATTCTTTAATCCATTGCAAAAGGGTAGATAAAATCGAGTAGGATAGGACCATTATGCAATTTAATTAAACATAGTGGCACACACATACGCAGGCAACGATTTGTAGTTTTGCATATTTTTCCTTGTATAAGTCCAACCACACGGTCAAATTGGTTTTTAGTCAGTCGATGATAATCCTCATCAGTCATAGCACTACTGTCTTCAAAATCTAACCCTTTTTTTCTTACTTGTTCTCGCAAACTATTAAGAAGCTGTGTTATCTCATTAGCACCAATATCAGAAAATGGTGATGTTTCTATTGTATTCACTGTATTCTCTGTCAATAGAGATTCTTGTAAATGCACACTACAAGACCTTGAGTTCGGTGGTATAAGTATACCAGTATCAATGAACACTTTTAGTCTAGCGTTAGGGGCAATTCTACAACGGCCATTTAGATTTTTACATACAATACATTTTGACTTACTTACAATACACCTTGGAGTTGGCAACTTCAATTTCTTTGGATCACTTGGCCCCTTGGTTTCTCTCTTTGTTTCTTGACTTTTACTTAATAAGCGACAAATGTCACACATTTTTGAGTTAAGTGTGATTGAACTATTATACACAGCTTTTGTTTTAATGTAGTCAACATTTTATTATCTTTAATAGACGATAAACGATGTCCTGATTTAAGATGCACTTTACAAGAAGGGCATAATAATTGTTTTGGCATTTTTAAATAACTTTCACACTGCAAACATCAACAGAGTAATGCAAAATAGTAAAACAATATTTAAGTTCAATTTTTCAAAGTCACTTCTTTTTAAAATTGCTAGTCTTAACATACCGATTTGCATGAAGAAGTAGTATGTAAGACAATCGCTTACGTTCTATACCAACTGTTAACTGTTTGATGAGGATTATTATCGACTGAAACTTTGAGGACTTATAACTTTCATTTTCCTCAACGTAAAAAGCTTTTCATATGGTGTTTTAGAAAGCTCTTGACTTCAACTATACAAATATGCAATCAAGAAAGTGCGATGCTCTGGCCAAAATTAACCTTATTGGCCCTCCTCTTTTGCTAGATTGCAAATGTTATTTTGAATTATTATGAATAATTGCAAGCGTTATTTTATGAACACATATTTTTATTTTATCATATTTTTCAAGAAGTTTTATATATTTTTTCGTTTGGACATTATAAATTAAGATGGCTATAGCGAGAAAATAAGAGTCTTAATTGATACAATGTATCAAAATCAGTTTATCATATTACGATATTACTTTATTTTTCATTGAAATCGTTTAGATCTTAACACAATCATCGCTTAAATCTTAACACAATCTGCAATTTATTTAATATAAAAATATATATAAGATAAATTTTTTTAAAGAAATAATCTAAATAATTATATCCCTTAACCAGGTCTCGGATTAATACATTCGACCGCTCTCCGTATTATCTACAGCATAGTAAGTCAAGTGGCAACGTCCACAGATATATTTATACTCAACAACAGCAGCAACAACAACAGCAGCAGCAGCAGCAACATCAACTGTCTCGTCATTCTCAAAGTAATCATCACTCTACAATAAATTCCACATTACGTCAACCTTATCATTTAGAAACGTCTGCGTCCAGTGGAAACATTTTGCATGTAAGTAAAATGACAAAAATACGAATTTCACATACAGAAAATCGATACAATTTTAACAAAGTAAACAATTTTAAAATATTACCATTATTAAAGTAAAAAAAGAAATATTTGAAAGTTTTATCTATCAGACTGCAGGTCGAGTACACTTCAACGTTGATAAAAACGCGATCAAGACTAATTCTATAAAACCGGGTAAACTCACCAAGTCCTTATCATTCGTATCTACTTATGGTCTAAAGCGCTCTAAAAGTTTAAATTCGGCGGATGTATTAGCCGCAAAGGCTCTTAGTATCTCTGATGCCTCCGAACTTGGAAAATTTCCTACACCTGTTCAAGATATACTTTTGCGAGCCTTAGAAGGTAAAATGATTTATTTGTTATTAATTAAGAAAATGTATTGAACTATATACAGGGTGTTTGATAGCTGATCATGCAGACGAAAGTTGGAGATAGATTGGATGTAGCCGAGAAGAAAAGTCATGTACCATAATATCAAATTGGCAATAGTTATCGAGTTATTAATTAAAATATGTGAGCCAACGAGCGCGTAGAGAGCGGAGGGCGACCGCAGTAAGCACATAGACATTTGATACAGGCGGAGTCAGCGAGTGACGGTAGGCAAGCGCGCGCGGCGAGGAGCGAGCGAGCTTTTTCTTTATAGCTTTTTCCTTATAGCTCGCTCGCTCCTCGTCGTTCGCGCTCGCTCGCTCTTCGTCGCGCTCGCTCGCCTCTTGTCGCTTGCGCTCGCTCGCTCCTCGTCGTTCGCGCTCGCCTCTTGTTGTTTATGTTGCCCCTCGCCGCGCGTGCTCGCCTACCGTCACTCGCTGACTCCGCCTGTATCAAATGTCTATGTGCTTACTGCGGTCGCCCTCCGCTCTCTACGCGCTCGTTGGCTCACATGTTTTAATTAATAACTCGATAACTATTGCCAATTTGACATTATGGTACATGACTTTTCTTCTCGGCTACATCCAATCTATCTCTAACTTTCGTCTGCATGATCAGCTATCAAACACCCTGTATATTAAATAACTATAAATTTGAATATATTTAATGTTCTGAGCAAATAGTACATTATAGTATATATTTTCAGTAACTAAATACAATTGTATATTTACCATACATGTAGTAAGAAAATAAGTTTATGATTAGATAGATTTTTCGATAATAATCGACGACTAGAAATTATTAATGAAGCTAATCTATGCTTTTTAATAGATCCAAATTTTTTAAATACAAGGACATTAATGGAACTAGTACGACATATAGTGGAAAGAGTAGTTGAAAATCGCAAATACGCCGAGCCAGCAGCTAAAATTTGCATCACAATTATAGAGGTTACTATGGTCTTTTTTCCTTACTTTCTCTTTTTTATAATTTCGAAACATTTAGATACCAAAATATTGGGTTGGTTAATAATCCCATTCAGTTCTTTACCTGTAAATAAAAGATTTTTTTTTATAGAAAGCAACGATATTTTAATTAATAATGTATTCGCGGTTATGATTCACTATTTTGTAGACGATCCATTTTTCATTGTCTGTTACCATTCGTTTAAAAAATGGATTGCTTTTCTCGCATTTTCTCAGTGAATCGCTGATAGAAATACGTTTGATTAGATTATCTTTACTCAGTTGGTATAGAACTCAAACATCGAACCGGCTGACCTAGCCAAGTTAATGTATTATAGATAGTTGTAATGTATTATAGATAGTTTCCCACACTCAATTTCGATATTTGTAGAACGTTTGCAATCTCCCGCGTTATACCGTGTGGAATAATGTCGATTAACATTTTCACTTTGTCGCCGTCGATTTCGACAAATTAGCTCGAGCTAACTAGTCGAGCTGGTATGCCTTGGACAAAAAAATTCCCAGAATGAAATTTCACAAATCACTTTTAGCATACGTATTCTTTCACAACATCCTTGCCATACACAGCACATAGCTTTTTACATGTTTACATCATAATTTTGCCTTTTTTAAAAGAGTATAATATGCCAAAAATGCTCGTTTTAGTTATTTATTTTTCAAATGACGTTTCAAATGACGATTTTTCAAACACATAAAGCACATAAAACAGAATCAATTTTTATGTTGTTTGTTTATAAATGTATCGTGAAATGTTATCTGTTAATGGCTATGCATTTCCAAGATTTTGATTGAAGATAAAACTTTTCAAAGCACCTAAAGCCATCTATTGGCAAAGACCGCACAAAATTATTGGCCAACCTAATATTTAATAAATATTAATTTTACAATTTTCTGTAATATGAACATATTAGAATTTATATACAGGGTGTCTCAGAACTTTGGGACACGGGCTCTGTAGAGACATAGAATTAAGTGAGAAGAACAAAAAAGTCTTCTACCATAATGTGAAAATCGTAATAGCTTTTTAGTAATAACCGTGTAAAGTTTGGCGTTTTCCACGCCCAGCGCGGCCAATAGACGCTCCGCGGCAAGCTGTATGCGTAGGGGCTAAGCGATAACGCGGCTCGCGCTGACCGTCGCGTGGCGTCAAAGCGTCAAGACGCCATCGCGACGGTCAGCGCGAGCCGCGTTATCGCTTAGCCCCTACGCATACAGCTTGCCGCGGAGCGTCTATTAGCCGCGCTGGGCGTGGAAAACGCCAAACTTTACACGGTTATTACTAAAAAGCTATTACGATTTTCACATTATGGTAGAAGACTTTTTTGTTCTTCTCACTTAATTCTATGTCTCTACGGAGCCCGTGTCCCAAAGTTCTGAGACACCCTGTATATTGTTATTGATGCATATAGTTTTTATTTTATATTGGATTTTATTTTACATATGAATATATACGAGGTGTCTTAAAAGTACTGGAATCTCCGGATAACTCCCTTTGCAGGATCAAATTTTCATGAAAAACATTAGATACAAAGGTTGTAGAAAATCGAGTAACGAACTTGATGATGACCTCGAATTTGATTTTGGCCATGATCTTCAAAGTCATTTGGAGATCAACTTGCGTCTTTTAAATAGGAACCCTTATTTTTTACTACACTGTTTTTTTCTATCAATTAATTGGAACAACTTTTGTCTAAAACATTTTTTTATTTGTCTAATATTTTTTTAGATATTTGAAGAAAACTTGATAACTTTTTCAATATTTAACTTACGATATCTCGCTAACTATTTATCGGAAGGAAAAGTGGTACTAGACTTTCTTGCTTTATTCAGTCTCAAAAATATATTGTTACAATAGCGCCCTGATTTTTATTAATATGATGATTTTGAAATTTCCAAAAGTCAGTAAGTTAACAAAAGTTAGGGCGTTATTGTAACAATATATTCTTGAGACTACATAAAGCAAGAAAGTCTAGTATGACTTTTTCTTCTGACAAATAGTTAGCGAGATATCGTAAGTTATCGTAAGAAATATCGAAAAAGTTATCAAGATTTCCTCAAATATATAAAAAAATATTAAGCAAATAAAAAAATGTTTTAGACAAAAGTTGTTCAAATTAATTGGTAGAAAAAAGAGTGTAATAAAAAATAAGGGTTCCCATTTAAAAAACGCAAGTTGACCTCCAAATGTCCTTAAAGGTCATGGCCAAGATCAAGTTCAAGGTCATCATTAAGTTCGTTACTCGATTTTCTACAACTTCTGTATGTAAAGTTTTTCATGAAAACTTGATCTTGTAAAGTTATCCGGTGGTTTCGGTATTTTTAAGACACTTCGTATAAATTGTACAATCTGTAATATATCGATGTGATAATGATTTTAACATACGATTCAAGAGGAAATATGCAAGATATCCTAAAAATATTTGACTAAACGTTAGCATTATATTTTAAGACCAAAACAAATAAAGTTTAATAAACAGAACCGAATAAAAACTTACTATTAATAAATTTTTTTCAGTTTCAAGGTACCTAAAATATTTTCCAAAATATGTAGAAAAAGATCTGAGTTACCAATATTGGTTGAAAATATTGAAGACAAACTTTATTCGCCGATTTAAAATAATCTGATATATTTTTCTTTAACTGCTTGCCACGTTCCTTAAACATCTCGTAATGCTAAATTGATACAGGCGATTCCAACTTTTTAACTCTCTTCCTTACTGGATATCAATTTTATTAATTTTTATCTATGTGATTATCTTAAAACATTAGTTTATGCCGCAAGATCTATTCCAAATACCAATAAACTGCGAGAACGTTTCGTAAATTTACTTATTAGGTGTGTGAATTAGTTCGGTCCGTTTTTCTTCCAAAAAAAGACTTTAGTATGAAAAAATATGAAAAAGTATTGGGGACTTGAATAAATTCTCGCTGTTTTTTCGTGAAAATGAATGTTTTATTTAAAAAATTAATAAAGAACATGTCATTGAAAGTATTGTCCATCGCTAGCCATTACTTTCTCCCATCTTTCTGGCAGTATACGAATACCATGTCGAAAGAACGACTCATCTTTTGAGGTTATCTATGAATCTACCCATTTTTTGGCATCTTCATAAGAATAGAAGTGTTGCTGAGCTAGGCCATGAGTCATCGATCGGAACAAGTAGTAATCGGAAGGAGTAATGTCCGGTGAATACGGCGGGTGGGGTAGACTTCCCATTTGAGCGTTTCCAAGTAGGTTTTGACCGGTTTTGCAACATGTGGTCGAGTGTTGTCATACTGCAAAATTACTTTGTCGTGTCTCTCCTCGTATTGCAGCCATTTTTCCTTCAATGCTCGGCTCAAACGCATCAATTGTAATCGATAGCGATCTTCTGCGATGGTTTCGTTGGGTTTGAGGAGCTCATAATATATTACACCCAGCTGATCCCACCAAATATAGAGCATGAGCTTGGAACCATGGATATTCAGCTTTGCCGTCGATGTTGATGCATGGCCGGGCTTACCCCACGATTTTCTACGTTTCGGGTTATTGTAGTGTATCCACTTTTCATCACCAGTCACGATACGATGCAAAAAACCTTTCCTTTCCTGCCGTTGGAGTAACTGTGTTCACATGTGAAAAAACGCCGTTCGATGTCTCTCGGCTTCAATTCGTACGGCATCCAATTTCCTTGCTTTTGACTCATTCCTAATGCTTTTAAACGTTTGGCAACTGTTGTGTGATCAACTCCTAATGATTCTGCAAGTTCATTTTGCGTCTGACATGGGTCTTCATCGAGTAATGCTTCCAATTCTTCGTCTTCAAACTTTTTCGGTGCGCCAGAGCGTTCCTTATCTTCAACATCAAAATAATTATTTTTAAAGCGTCTAAACCAATCTCTGCATGTTGTTTCCGACAGAGCATGGTCGCCGTAAGTCTCCACAAGAATTCTATGTGCTTCAGCTGCAAATTTTTTTTGAAAAAGTAATGCAGTAAAATTCCCCGCAAATACTCTTTTTTTGGCACGAAATTCGACATGTTTAACGCTATGAAAAAATATGTTGTTTACGCTTCGGCGAAGTAACATATACTGTCACTTCGAGTCTAATGGTGGAGTTTTAAGGTGAAGTTGGCTGTATTATTGCCCGATGCAAAAAGGCTATGATAACACTATCTGTCGGGAAGCAGCGAGAACTTATTCAAGTTCCCAATACACTAATCAAAGTATTTGCCATCGCTTGATATTATTTTTTCATATCTGTCTGGCAGTTGTTGCATTCCGTGACAGGAAAACGACTCGTCCTTCGAAGCCATTCATTGAGCCATTTCTTTATTTCTTAATCATAATTGTTGAAGTGCTGGTCCGAAAGCCCGTGTGCCATCGATCTGAACAAGTGATAATCGAATGGAGCAATGTCTGGTGAATAAGGCGGGTGAGGTAAAACGTCCCAGCCAAGTGCTTCCAAGGTGGCCTTCACAATCTTTCCAACATGTGGCCGAGCGTTATTGTGCTGGAAGATCACTTTGTCGTTGTTTAAAGGGATCAATTGTTGGTAAAGTTCGGCAGTGATGGTTTGGCTCTGTTTGAATAGTTCATGATACACTACACTCTTCTGGTCCCACCATATACAGAGCATTACTTTCTTGCCGTGAATATTCCGCTTTGGTATCGATATGGATGGTTTTCCTGGGTCACTAATGGATTTCCTTCATTTGGAATTATCGAAATATATCTACTTTTCGTCTCCAGTCACAATACGATGTAAAAAACCTTTTCTTTTTTGTCTGGCAAGCAAGATTTCAGACATGACTTTTCGCCTCTCAATGTCTTTTTCTTTTAGTTCTTTCGTATGGCACCCATCTTCCTTCTTTGTAAATCTTTCCCATGGCTGCCAAACGCACAGAAATTGTTGATCGATCAACATTCAACAATTTCGCGAGCTCATCTTACGATTGACATGGACCTTCATCGGATTAGCACGGATCAGCGCCTGCAATTCCTCGTCCTCGAACTTCTTCGGCTGACCTGGACGAGGTTTGTCATCGACACTGAAATCATCACTTTTGAAACGTCGAAATCATTTTCTGCATGATTTATCGGTGGGAGCACTTTCACATAAGCTTCTACGAGCATTTAATGAGCTTCAGCGGCTGTTTTCTTCAAATGAAAACAGAAAATGAGAACTTCCCGGAAATGATGCTTTTTTGGCTCGAATTTCGACATTTTCGAATTAGATAAACACGATGTTATTGTTACAAATCCAAACGTTTATCAACTAAATATTATTGGCAGATATCAAAACTAAAAAATAAAGCCTTCTGCAGAAACTAGAGGTTAGAAAATTACATAGTACAGCAATTGACCGCCAGATGGACCGAATTAATTCACACACCTAATAATATCATATAAAACTCTGCTATTATTTTCGACTAAATTTGGTAATCCCTGAGAAAGTGTATTGAAGCATATATTGCTGTTGAAGGTAGTTATTTTGATGTGTAGACATTTGTAGACATTTTTATGTGAATTCGATGTTAATTTATTTGCAACTGTTGGATTATACAGGGTGTCTAATAATTATCTGCCAACTCGAAGTGTGAGGATAGGTTGAGTTAAGCTAAAAAGAAAAGTAAAATACAATTTTGCAAGAATCACAACAATTATCGAGTTATTAATTACAAAAATCTGACAAATGAGCGCGCATTGAGATGGATGGTTGTAGGAGCGTCGTAGCCTTTCAGGCCATAGTACAACCCAATCGACCTAGCAACTGTTGACGGTGTGCGGCGAGACGTAGGTGCAGCAAAATAAAACAACGAAAAGCAGCGTATTGTCCTTCCCCTCACCGCGCACCGGCAATAGTTTCTGGATCGACTGGCCCGCGCTGCGGTCTGAGCAGCTGTAACGCTTCTCCAATTATCTATGTCGACGTGCTCCCACACTTCAGATTTTTGACGCTAATAACTCGATAATTATGGCGAATCTCATAAAACAGTATGGGACTTTTATGTCTGTCTTAACTCTATGTTTCTACGAGCTCTGCAACATTAGTTATGAGATACTCTGTATAAGTTTAAATTAATGTAACTCATTAATGCTTGGTATTCGAATTCATGTTTATTAAATTTTTTGTTTGACTTCGTTTCTAAAATATAATGTTAAGATTTGGCTAAATATTTCTGTGATACCTTATATATTTAACTTGAATATATTTTATATGCTAGAAAGAAACAAAAGAAACATTTCTGGAATCCTTGCTAAACACATGCCAACAATGGTATCAGGATCGCGCTAGAAAATTACACGACGACATGAGCTGTCAACGATATTCAGCTTTTATGACCTTTCTCAATGAAATGTATTGCCAGGTATGAGGTTTATAGTTGATTAATTATGATTGAGTAAAATATTTAATATGAGTGAAGTACTTAAATAAATTAGGTAAAGTAAAAATAAAAGATGTGTGAATTTTTTAAGTGTGACCATAAGGAATGTGCAAAGAAAAATCATGCAAATTTATGTAAAACATTTATCGTTAGAAGCTCAATGATTCCATTAATTAATAAAGAAGGAAAGCAATTATGCGGTTTTTAATCCAATGTATAATTCAGCATGACAGTTGTTTCAATAATTGATTTGTAAACTTGTTCTTTTATCTTGCTATATATTACAGTAATGCTATATATTATGGTAATGCTGAGCGTTTCAATGCGTCCATGTAACATACGAAATCGTATAATTATAGCTAAAGCGACGGCAGTTGCAACTTAAGACGCAACAAGAAGGAGTTCCACCAGGACGCATGCTCCTCACACTACTATGGAAATGTTGTCAGGATTGTTTACAACCGTCTGTCATCAATTCACTTGCTGAAGTAAGAGAGAGAAATTGAAGTAGAGATGTCGCACATACAGGGTGAAGAAAAAACCCCGGGAGCCTGAAAATTTCGAAAAATATACACGTTATGAAAAAATGTTTCAAACAAAAGTTGTAGCATTGAAAAAGATATATTTACCGATCTTAACAATTTGACTTTGAGTGGCGTCGTCAAGGTCAGGACAAAAAGTCACCTCAAATTTTTTAAATGGAACTCCCAATTTTTTATTGCATATTCTTATAGCCCTTCTTAAGACCTTTTCAAAGCACTATGGTTTTATCCAATTTGAATAAGCTGTTCCGAAATTATCGAGTTTTTTAAAGTAAGATATCTAGCCAACTAAGGCAAGATCGGAGGATGATCTGGCCAACTAAGGCAAGGTCTTAGGATCATCCAACTAAGGCAAGATCGGAAGATGATCCGGCCAACTAAGGCAAAATCGGAGTGATCGTGCCAACTAAGACAAGATCGGAGGATGATCCAGCCAACTCGTAAAAATAATTGCGCGACTAACTTCCAGGCGTTGGCTCCTATTGGCTTGTCTTAATTTCGTTTATTGATTTATTTCAGTTATTTATTTATTTGAACTATTCTGCTGTTCGATGTTTATTTCTTCCATTTATTCATTTAATACTCATTACAGTTTAGTGAATCGCAACCTCGACTGAAATTCCTCTATTTTTTTGAAAATTATTAAGTAACAGTTTGAAGCTAGTTGTAAGCTGACTTAATTGCACTTCATTCCGTGCTCATTATTATTCTTCAGCACTGTCTTTAGAATAACTTTGAATTGATCCAAATATTAATTTAGTCGATTAGACTAAATCTTACCACTTCTGCTTGTCAATATGGCAAGTCTTTCAGAACGAGAACGCATATCTCTTTTGATGATGAGAGGATGGGATGATCGACTAAAGTCGTACAATGATGTGAGGCGGCTTTTTAATGAAACTTTTCGTAATCAGGGTAATGCCATTTCAAAATCTACCATTGAAAGAACGATAAGGCGTTTTTAGGAAACTGGAAGTGTGAAAAATCATGCAATACCAGGTAGGCCAATATCAGCAACAAGTGTAGAGAAATCATTAGATGTTCCACAATCCTTTATCGAAAATCCGCATGATTCGACCCGCAAAGTAGGACAGCAACATGAAATAGATCAAATGTCTGTGCTTAAAATATTGAAAATGAATAAATTTCATCCTTATAAGGTCCATCTTGTACAAGAGCTAAATGAAGATGATTTTGATAGGCGCATTGAATTTTGTGATTTGATAATGGAAAAAATAGCCGAAGATCCTAACTATCTATCAAATGTGTTTTCAGATGAGGCAACATTTCAGTTAAATGGCCACGTTAATCGATACAGTTGTAGATTTTGGTCAGATACAAATCTTCACTGGATTGAAGAAACACACACGCAGTATCTACAAAAAGTGAATGTTAGCGTAGGCATTTTGAATAATATTCTTATAGGTTCACTCTTTATTGACGGAAATCTAACAGCGATAAAATATGAGAATATGCTAAGAAACGAAATAGTTCCAGCGATACAAGCAATGGATACAATCATGGATGACAACTTCGAGCATACATGGTTCCAACAAGATGGTGCCCCCCCACATTACGGAAGGGACGTCCGTAATTATCTGGACACAGTGTTTCCTCATCGATGGATAAGTAGAAGAGAACCTATAGAATGGCCTCCTCGATCACCCGATTTATCACCTAACGATTACTTTCTGTGGGGCCATTTAAAAGATAGAGTTTACAAAACGAAACCACAAAATTTGGATGACTTACAAAATCGAATTCTTGATGAAGCTGCTCTCATCCCTGCTGATTACATTAAAAAAGCCGTTTCATCTTTTTACGATAGATTAGCTTATTGTCAAACTGTTGATGGCGAACGTTTCGAACAATTACTTTAAAGCTTTCCAGTATTGCCTTAGTTGGTCAGATCATCCTACGATCTTGCCTTAGTTGGCTGGATCATCCTCCGATCTTGCCTTAGTTGGCTGGATCATCCTCCGATCTTACCTTAGTTGGCTAGATATCTTACTTTAAAAAACTCGATAACTTCGGAACAGCTTATTCAATTTGAATGAAACTATAGTACCTTGTAAAGGTCTGAAGAAGGGCTATACGAATATGCAATAAAAAGTTAGGAGTTCCATTTAAAAAAATCCGCGGTGACTTTGTGCTGACCTTGATGACGCCACCCAAGGTCAAATTGTTAAGATCGGTAAATAGATATTTTTCAACGCTACAACTTTTGTCTGAAACATTTTTTTATAAAGTATATAATTTTCGAAATTTTCAGGGGTCTCGTGGTTTTTTCTTCACCCTGTATACAGGATATCTCTAAAGTCCGACCCCATTGCTAGATCTCAGAAACGGTTTTAAATATGGAAAAATGTTTCAGACAAAAATTATATGGTTTTAAAGGGGACATAAAAACTATATCATTTTGTTTACAAATGGCGCGACTTTCGAGATATTCACTGATCATAAATTTTCTTAAACAGAAACCTTAATTTTTTATTATGTCATCTTTTTCTATTAATTAATTTAACAATTTTTGTTTGAAACATTTTTTATTTACTTAATATTCTTTTAGATATTTATGAACTTGGTAACTTCTTTAAGGGTGTACACTACAGTAAAGGCACGAAAAAATACCTCTTTTTCAGGAGCGTTAGAAGGAAAGCTTATGAACCGTAGAAAAAATACGATTTGATAGATTGACAGAGTACACTTTAAAAATATTTTTATTATGTCGGTGAATTAATATATTATTAGGAGTACAAATAAGTTTCCGCCGTCTTCTATCAAAAATTAGGAATTTATTGTGAAAGAACGGTACATTACGTTTTATTCAAAGTATTGTCCATCACTAGCCACTACTTTTTCCCATCTTTCTGGCAGCATTCGGATACCACGTCGGAAGAATTCTTCATCTTTTGAGGCTATCCACGAATCGACCCAATTTTTAGTATCTTCATATAATGTAAAGCGCTGCTTAGACAGGCCATGTGCCATCGACCGGAACAAGTGATAATCGGAAGGGACAATGTCTGGTGAATACGGCGGGTGGGGTAGGACTTCCCAATTAAGTGTTTCCAAATAGGTTTCGACCGGTTTTGCAACATGTGGCCGAGCGTTGTCATGTAGGAGAATAATTTTGTCGTGTTTGGGGTAGTAATGGGCGCGTTTTTCCTTGAGTGCTCGGCTCAATTTCATTAATTGTATTCGGCAGAAAGCTCCAGTAATGGTTTCGCTCGGTTTGAGCAACTCATAATACACGACACCAAGCTGATCCTACCAAATACACAGCATGAGTTTTTTTCCATGAATTTTCGGTTTGGCTGTCGATGTTGAAACATGGCCAGGTGGTCCCCATGATTTTCTCTTCTTTGGGTTATTGTAGTGGATCCATTTTTCATCACCAGTGAATATACAATGCAAAAAACCCTTTCTTTTATGCCTGGCAAGCAGCATTTCACACGTGCAAAATCGGCGTTCAACGTCTCTCAGCTTCAGTTCATATGGAACTCAATTTCCTCGTTTTTTAATCATTCCCAACGATTTTAAACGATGTGAAATTGCTTGTTGAGTCACTTCTAATGTAAGTGCAAGTTCTTCTTGCGTTTGGCATGAATCTTCCTCCAATAATGCTTCCAATTCCGTGTCTTCGTACACTTTCGGCCTTCCACTACGTTCTTTTTCTTCTACATCAAACTCACCGTTTTTAAACTTTTGAAACCACTTACGACAACTTCTCTCACTTAAAACAGTCTCACCATATGCTTCTACAAGCAATCGATGCGCCTCAGCTGCAGATTTCTTCAAATTAAAGAAGTAAATCAAAAGTTCCCGCAAATGACGCTTATTCGGCACAAAACTTGACATTTTCGCACGAAAAAATTATGTGATGCTGATACGGAGTCACTAATACTTCAAGGTTATGTTGTTACCAGATGTCCAAACTTACGATATTACGTTTTACGTCTGACAACTTCAACATAACCTTCTGGTGGGGCCATCTTTTGTCAAACGGCGGAAACTTATTTGTACTCCTAATAACATATGCTGCTGTTGCACAGCATTGTAGACCATTGTGATCTAAAAAACGTGATCAATCGACGGCATCGAGAACTTAAGTTACAATTATCAGAGATGAAATCGGTTTGAAAATTTCGAAACTACATGAGTATACTTTCCGTTGTACGTAAAAATATTTTAAAATAATATAAATGTTTTCATGAAATAGTAGCCGTAGTTAAACAAGGGGGATTCAAACTCACTTTTTAAAATGAATTTTCAAAAACCGGACATTTTTTACTGAAATCTTTTTGAACCTGACCTTTTTAATGAAATCTTTTTGAACCTGACCTTTTTAATGAAATCTTTTGGAACCTAACCTTTTTAATGAAATTTTTTTGCACCTGACCTTTTTAATGAAATCTTTTCGAACCTGACCTTTTTAATGAAATATTATAATTAATATCCCCCCCCCCCGATTTATTGATATCCCCTCCTTATCGATACCCTCCCTCCTCCCCAGAATTGTTTGATTCTATAGGCAAGATGGCGGGCGACCATGACGTCACGCACATGTCCGGAGAAAAACGTGCCGGGATGTAGATAGGCTCGAACCTGGGCCCGGCGGTTGATATCCGAACGCTCGAAACCTTCTAAGACCACCGTCGCCTATTGCTAGTAGACGTTACGTTTACGGGTAAGATGGCGGCCGTGACGTCACGCACATGTCCAGAGAAAAACGGGCCGGTGTGTTGCTAGACTCGAACCTGGGTCCTGCGGCTACTATCGAACGCTCCAACCTCCTAGACCACCGTCGCCTATTGTTAGTAGACGTCACGTTTACGGGTAAGATGACGACCGTGACGTCACGCATACGTCAAAAAAACAAACATGGCGGCGGTGTAGGTAGGGTCGAACCTGGGCTCCGCGATTACTATCGAACGTCTGTCGGACGTCTCTCGAACGTCTCTCGAACGTCTATCGGACGTCTAATAATCATCATATCGCAAATAAAGAACTGTATTTTTATCAAACACAATTATCATATAAAATCTTAAGAGGTGAAAGGGGATAAGTATGTTGGAAGAAACATCTGTACATTTGAAATAATGTTTTATTGAGCGTCGTACAATTCTCTCCAAGACCACCAATTGAAAATGTTTAGTACGTTCTGTAAGGCACAATTTTTCATATGATTATTACATCGAAAAGTATTATTCTATTCTTGCAGAGAAGGCATGTCATCGTAATCGGTGTCCACAGTCCTAATGATCACGTTGCTTCTCACATTGTCATCCAGAAGATGTAACAACCATTCCCGCTTCTCATGCCCCTTTACATACACAAGTTGAGATGCGACATGTTCAAGCTCGCCATAAATATCACCCACCACAGCTGTAGTAATCAAATGTTCAGCTCTGCAGTATTTGACGGTTCCATCTTCCCATCGTAATCCATGATGATTAGCCGTTAACCAGTGGGCTCTCGATTTGTCTGATCTTGTGAGCAGATGCCATGGCATCGGACTCGTGAAGATGTAGTGTGAAAAGATAGTTCCATTCTTCAGTATCGCCGCTTCTTTTACAATAAATCTCTTTCCAACCATGTACCCTTGTAGATCCACAAAAGTCGGCACATCCATGGTGAAATATTCTTCGACACGTCCGGGCGAGAAATGTTGTTTATAGCACTTTGTTGCACGTATTATTCTTTTCTCGTACATACTTTCTGATGTTAGTTAATTTATACATAATTTTGTTCTCCAGAATATCATTTATTTGTTCATGGCTTCATACATTATATTTTTTATCGCGCACGCTAACAATTCACAATCAATGAGCGACTCGCGGTCAAAGTCGCTGCTTTCTTGTATTACTTTTGTTGCAGTATGTATATTAGTAATATAATTCTTCTTTTCACGAAGAATATTTACAAAACTTTTGAATTTTACACTAAATATAGATATTTTCTGATAACCATTCATACATGTGATTGATGCAATTTTCAAATGTAAATAATACATTTAACGTATCTGGTGTTACATATAAGCAATTATTAAAAATTGTGAGTTTCACAATTTGTGAGTTGTACATCTTACATGACGTTATTGTTAATTCTTCTATACGCATCGGGGGAGACGATGACTTATAAAAATCGGCCTAGAGGAATCTATGGATGTCAGCACGATGCCCCATTAGTGCATTCCAAGTTTTGATCGGCAATAGCAGTTGTTAGCTACGATTATCATCAATGACTATGTCTTTGATTGGCTCAGCTCATACGCTGATTCCGATATTCAAATATTTATAAGCAGTTACAGTCAAAGCGTATCGGCGTCCTAAGATATGCATAGGAAGTCATGGAACGCTGAAAAGATATAGAAAATTTACATGTCTGAATCTCGGAAAAATTACTACGGATAAACTGAAAGAAACAGTGTTATGACACTCACCTCTCGCACATTTTTTTGCTTGGTGGAGCCTCGTCCTCATGTTGAGCAGGCATGTAATAATTTGCTTGTTTAGCGTTCATTTCAGCACCGGCAGCATACATTTTTACTATGTAGACACACCCAAACTTTACTATGTAGACACACAACCGATGAATCTCGTGTTCACAGAGCAACTGAGAGACAGAAGTTTTTTTCCGAAGCCTAATATTATAGCTACTATAGGGCACCCCCTCCTCTTACTCTTCAGAGTTGTAGCGCATGAGCAGATACATTCTTCAAACCGAGAAACGAGATGTGGCTATCTTAGTTTTAGACCCCACCCCATTTGACTTAGGCGTGTCCAAACCTGTTCTAATCTATCCAAACCTTTTCTAATGGAAATAATATAAGGTAAAGCATTCTAGAGTGCAGAGCTATTCTCAGCAGTTCATGAAGACATGGAAGACTTCGCTCAAACCGAACGGGAACTGTTGGCGTAATCCACTCGTTTGAATTCGCGATTGTCATACGACGCGTGGGTGCAAAAAAGTGTGACAATCAGATGTTTGAAGGAACAAAGTCGAGCAAAATGACCGCGATTGTTGATTGGCGCCGCGCAATCAGTGGTGGCTCGTATTGCACGACTTGAGGGACTGAAAATTTCTGTGCAACAACGCTTCATACATGTGGGTGCTGGACACGCATCAGGAGATACAGAATTGGTATGGAAAGAAATTGATACGGCGTTCGAAAGCCGCATATCAACCGGCGCAGTTATTAACGTGAATTATATCGAACCTCTTCGATTTCTCCAAGATGCGAAGAGTACGGTGCTCGAGCACGTGCGAAGAGCTATGGAAAGACACAACAATCTTAAGGTGAACACTGTGTTCAATGGCGAGTTTATCGCGGATGACAATCACGTGTTCAAAAACATTAACACGAGAAACAGTGAACACTTTTCTGCTTTGGATTTGGAAAAATGGTACGAGCAACGCGTCATCGAGCCTACCTTGGCATCTTTGGAGGAATTTCAAGAACGTGATAGTGGATGGGCATTGCTGCGCATACTTGATCTCACAGTCAATGTGAACAAATACAATCCACTGTATGCAGGGTGCAACATTGAGTTGCCGCGCGAAATAAAATTAAAGAAAGCAGTGATAAACGTACGAACTAAAGACAACGCATGTTTTGCATGGTCTGTAGTCGCGGTATTATATCCAGCTGAAAGACATGGAGACCGGAAATCTTCGTACCCACATTATACCAAAATATTCAATCTTCAGGATATTGAATTTCCAATGACGATTAAACAAATCACCAAGTTTAAACAGCTAAACAACATATCCATCAACGTCATTCAAGATAAAAAGAAGCAGAAAGAAGCATGTACGATCGTTCCAATACGTCTCGCCAGTAAGAAGGAAAAGCATGTAAATTTGTTATATGTGCAAGATCTACGAGAGTACAAGATAGGACATTTCGTGTGAATTAAGAATTTGTCACGTCTTGTGGACATGCAACTAAGTAAGAAAAAATGCAAGAAATATATATGCGATCGGTAAGGAGATATTCACCATAAATACAATATAACAAATATGATATAAAAGAAAAACTCGCAATATCCATTTCTTTTTCGTTTCAGTTGCTTGCATTATTTTTATTCTAACGAAAAACTGGAGAATCATATCATAAATTGCACCAAGTTGAATGACTGTGCAGTCATCCTGCCAACAGAGGCCAACAAGTGGCTCAATTTTACCAATTACAGCAGAAGGGAACGAATTCCATTCGTGATATACGCTGACCTGGAATGCATTCTAGAGAAGACTCCAAACGAAGAAAAAAGCATATGTATATCAGCATCATAAAGTATATAATATAGCTTATTACGTACAATATTCCTACGATGAATCATTATCCGCGTATCAGTGTCATCGTGATCCGAATTGCATTTCGTGGTTCGTCAAGGAACTTAAACAATTGGCGCGTCGTATAAAAATTATTCTGCGTAATAATGTCCCTATGGAAATTTTATCACAAAAACAGTGTGCAGCATTTTATAATGCAACGCACTGTCATATATGCGAAAAATCATTCGCGGTGGGGGATATACGCGTACGTGATCATTGCCATTTAACCGAGCAATACAAGGGTCTGCACATTCCAATTGTAATTTAAATTATACAGATTCCTATTATATTCCGATAGTTTTTCATAACTTATCAGGTTATAACGCTCATTTTATTATCAAGGAAGTAGCCACCGTTATTATCAAGGAAGGCCACGTCGATGTACTACCAATAACGAAAGAAAAATATATTTCACTTACCAAACATATTAAAGATACAACAAGTAAAACATCAGACTGGCGAAATCATATTAAATTGCGGTTCATCGATTCGTACAAATTTCTCAGTACCAGTCTCGATAAATTAGCATCGTCTCTCACTGGAGGCAAATTAAAAATTCTTCAATCCGAATTTAAAAACTTATCCAACAAAAATTTTAATTTATTAACGCGAAAAGGTGTCTTTCCGTACGAATATGTGGATTGCAATGACAAGCTGCAGGATCATTGTTTGCCACCGCGCGAGTTATTCTACAGTTCGCTGACAAGTGATACAGTATCTGAGAGCGATTACACACACGCCGTGAACGTATGGGAACGGTTTTCTATTCAAACCTTAGGCGAATATAGCGATTTGTACCTGAAGACTGATGTTTTGTTATTGGCTGATATTTTCGAAAATTTCCGCGATAGTTGTATCAAAAGTTACGGTCTAGATCCCGCGCATTATTACACATTGCCAGGTTTCACATGGGACGCGATGTTAAAACATACAAAAATTAATTTTGAATTACTCACAGATATTGATATGGTAATGTTTATCGAACGCGGTATACGTAGTAGTCTGAGTCAGTGTTCCGGTAGGTACGCAAAAGCCAATAACCAATACATGCAATCTTACGACCCATCGAAGCCATCCTCATACCTCATGTACTTTGATATAAATAATTTGTATGGGCAATGTGTCAACCGTTACCATACGCTGAATTTAAGTGGGTTGATGATACGTCGAATTTGGATGTTTCATCAATCCCGCTATTCGCTCACATATAGATTCGCTCATAGGTTATATTCTCGAGGTTGATTTGGAGTATCCCCAACACTTGTATGATGCACACGTAGATCTACCGTTCTGTCCGCCGCGAATGAAGCCCCCGAAGAAAAGCCAAGAAAAACTCCTTGCGACTTTATATAATAAGCAGCGTTATGTTATTCATTATCGCAACCTGCAGCAGTGAACACGCCATGGTCTTCGTATCGGAAAGATTCATCGCATACTCCAATTCGTGCAATCTCCATGGCTATGCAACTACATAGAATTAAATACGCAGTTTCGAACGCATGCAACAAACGATTTTGAGAAAAATTTATACAAATTGATGAACAACGCGGTATTCGGCAAAACAATGGAAAATGTTCGCAATCACGTCGATGTAAAACTTTTGACAAAATGGGATGGACGATACGGTGCAGAGGCAATGGTCGCAATGTCAAATTTTCATAGCAGGAGCATCTTTTCAGAAAATTTAATTGCCGTTGAATTGTGAAAACTCGAAGTGAAGTTCAACAAGCCGATCTATGTGGGTATGTGTATTCTCGACATATCTAAGACCTGCTTGTATGAATTTCACCATGAGTACATGTCACTTCTGTATCGCGAGAAATGTAAAGTACTATATACGGATACAGATAGTTTAATTTACCACATAATGTCTGACGATGTGTATGAGCTAATGAAACGTGACATTGCTAGGTTTGATACGAGCGATTATTCTCAAAATAATATATACGGTATGCCGCTTAAGAACAAAAAAATTCCAGGGCTTATGAAAAATAAAAATAACGGAGCTATAATGACAGAATTCGTCGGGCTCAGAGCAAAAATGTATGTGCTGAAAGTAGAAGGTAAAAAAGATACTAAAAGGGCGAAGGGTGTTAAGAGGAATATTATAGAGCGAACAATAAATTTTGACGATTACACGTATTGTTTGAGAGAGGAAATTGAAACGAGTCGGCGTCAATCGTACATAAAATCCAAGTTGCATGAGGTATACACAGTATTCGAAACGAAAACTGCTCTCAGTCCATACGATGATAAGCGATATATCGTGTCTGACTCAATAAATACATTACCATGGGGACATTATAGTATACCATTATAACGTTTATTTGTTTTATTAGCTATTTTATAATAAAGTATGTCATCAAATGTTCTAATAAAACTGTATTCATTTTTTACAATACATTATCCTTTTGTATCCATGAATTATGCGAATTGTCGAATCCCAACCATTTTACATATATAGGATTTCTCAATTAGTGCGGGTCGATGTTGGCAGCCTGTGGTGGCCACGTTGTTTTGGCGGCGTCTGTCTAACCTGTTGTTTATTATTCAATCACTGATGCCAAATCACCATGACAAGTTACACGATTGAGCAGCACGTCCAAATGATAAAACTTTATTATCAAAATGAGTGTTCGTTAGTGCAAACGTTGCGCGCGTTGCGCCCATTTTACGGCAGACGCGGTGGTCCTTCAAAGTCGACTCTCCAACGTTTGGTCGCCAAATTCGAGACAACCGATTCGGTAAACGATCAACCAATACCCGTACGTCAAAGGAACGCCAGATCGGCCGAGAACATCGCCGCTGTAAGTGAAAATGTGCAGGAGAACCCGAAGCAGTCAATTCCTCGCCGTGCACAAGAACTCTGCCTTTCGCAGACTTCAACTTGGCGAATTTTGCGTCGAGACTTGGGCCTGCACCCGTACAAGATCCAACTGGCCCAGGAGCTCAAAGTTAATGACCATAGACAACGCCGTTTGTTCGCTGACTGGGCTTCGAAGCATTTGGAAGAGGACCCCAATTTTGGCCGAAAAATCATCTTTAGCGACGAGGCGCATTTTTGGATGAATGGCGATGTTAACAAGCATAATTGCCGTATATGGCACGGCGCCAACCCATACGAGGTTCAACAGGTAGCAATACATCCATAAAAAGTTACTGTTTGGTGCGGATTTTGGGCCGGCGGCGTCATTAGTCCGTACTTTTTCGAAAACGACGTTGGTGAGGCCATCACCGTCAATGGCGAGCGCTACAGAACGAAGATAACCAATTTCTTTTGGCCCAAATTGAAAGATATGGACGTGGACGACATGCGGATCCAGCAGGACGGCGCTACGTGCCACACAGCGGACGCCACGATGGACATTCTGCATGAACGATTTGAGGGTATGGTTATCTCTCGCAGAGGTGATGTGAATTGGTCACCAAGATCGTGCGATTTGACCCCGCTAGACTTTTTCTTGTGAGGTTTTTTGAAGTCGCAGGTCTATGCCAATAAGCCGCAATCGACCGATGCCCTTAAAGTCAACATAACCCAGGCCATCGCTCAAATTCAGCCGGATCTATGCGGTAGAATCATTGAAAATTGGACCACTCGGATCCGTGCCACTGTGAGAAGCCGCGGCGGACATTTGAACGATGTTATATTCCACACATAATGGCATACATGGGCCTTTCCAATAAAAAAAGAATTTCGTTAATACCTCACACACAGCTTGTTTTATTCCATTGCAACATCGACCCGCCCTTATTGAAAAACCTTTTACTTTGTCACCTTGCCTGCGCAACACCTTTTCTACTAAGTATACACAGTCTGTCCCAGATCCAATGAGACTGGTCTAAAAAAAATACGCGTTTATTATTTTGATTTTTTATTCTTGTTTATTCAAAATAGTCTACTTCTGAGTCAATACAGCGCTGGAAACGTTCAACAAATTTTTCGAAACATTTTTTATACTCATCGGCTGTAATGACCTTTAGTATGGCGGTCGAAGTCTTTTGGATAACCGGGATGGTATCGAAACGATTTCCTTTCATCGCCAAAGTTTGGGAAATAGCCAGAAGTCGCACGGAGCCAAATCAGGTGAATACGGTGGATGATCGATAACAATGATGCCTTTTTGATCAAGAATTCACGTACCATGATGGCTTTGTGCGATGGTACATTATCGTGCAACAAAAACCAACTGCCTGGCTCTCGATATTCCGGTCGAACTCGTCGAATTCTGGCCCACAATCGTTGTAGAACTCCCAGATAATATTCTGCGTTCAGCGTCTGACCTTCTGGGACGAATTCACTGTGAACAATTCCCTTTGAATCGAAGAAAACGGTCAGCATTGTCTTGATTTTGCTCTTCTGAAAGCGTAATTTTTTCTCTTTTGGCTCTTCTGGCTTCCATGCCGCACTCTGACGTTTTGTTTTTGGCTCGTATTGAAAACACCATGTTTCATCACCAGTTACAATGGCTGACATGCTTGCCGGATTCCTTCGAGATATTTTTAACATGTCTTTGCAATGCTGAACTCTCCAATCTTTTTGGTCGTCTGTCAGAGTGTGTGGCACGAAGCGCGCACAGACCTTCTGTTTGCCTAAATCTTCGGTCAAAATTCGATAGACTGTGCTTTTCGGTATCCTAGTTTTCTCTTCGATGAGTCTCGCAGACACACAGCGGTCGCTTCGAAGAATTTCTTTGACTTTCTCGATGTTTTCTTCATTGCGAGTGGTTTTTGGAGGCGGTGCTCGGTCATCATCTGCAAGGTCCTCACGACCGTCACGGAATCGGCCAAACCAACAGAAAACCTGTGCACGGGACATGCATTCATCCGCGTACACATTTTTTAGCGTTTCGTACGTTTCTGCACCACTTTTACCCAATTTAAAATAGAATTTAAGATTTGCTCTTTGTTCCATGTTGGTTTTTCGACCGACGTACACAAAGTGACTTTACATAAAATGTCAAACCACAGTGAAATATCAACCTAATTCGCTCAAATTTTGAGGTTAAATAGATGAAGGGTAGAACATTCACCTACCATCATTCACTCATAGATGTCGCTGCGCTAAGAACTTTGATGGAACCAGTCTCATCGTATCTGGGACAGACTGTGTACATCTGGATTGGCGACATTATGTAGTTCGTGTTCGTAGAAACCCCCGGCGATAGATTTTCCGCGCGAGTCTGCGAGTAGGTAAGTTGCAGGATTAGTTGTCTGCACTTTGACGATTTTAAACACTTCGGTTGTCCAATTCGGTGTATAGACTTTTTCAAAGATAGTTTTGAATTTGCTGACACGTACCAAATCACCCACTTTGAATTTCGCAGGCGCTGCAATCTTTATGTTACTGTAGACTGTGTTTAAGAGCTTATTAGCATTCGCAGAAGTCACATCGATAGGACGCATGCCGATAGTTCGATATTTTCGCGTGTTGTATTCAGCGACGAGACGCGGTAATGAGTCAATCCATTTGTAAGTTCCGTTGAACGTAAACATTTTCCACATATCGTTCTTTAATGTACGGTTGAATCGCTCCACAACAGATGCCTTCATTACTGAATAAGTCGAATAATGATTGACACCGTGTTTCTTCACAAGTCTCTGCAACTCTGTATTGTAAATCTCCTTTCCCTGATCAGTTTGCAAGTTCTTCGGGCATCTTCCATCCGCTCGAATTATCTTTGCGAATGCCTCAGCTATCTCCTTTCCGCTTTTGTTCTTTAACGGCACGGCCCATGCGTGCTTGCTCAGTACATCGATAATGGTGAGTATGTAATGGTGGCCTCCATTGAATCGCGAGTAAGGACGCATTTCCACCATATCGGCCTGCTAAAGATCATCGTATCCACGCACTATGACGCGTCTACGAGGAAAATTTCGTCTCGCTGGAGTGTGTAATTCTTTCATTAGTTGTTGTTTTTCGGAATGTTTCTTCTCATTTTTCCTTGTTACTCGCCGAGTCGTTTTCCTATCATGCGTGAGGCTTTGTCGCTTTACACCGGCAAAAATAGTATCGATGAGTTGCTTCCCTGAACTTTTCTTCTTTTTGTTAAATTTTGACGATTGCTTCACCATTGCAGCTCGTGATAATCCATCTCCTGTTTATGTCGATACTATATGTCAATTTAACTAATATTCTACTTTTATATTTTCCTTGTTTGCTTTATCTCTGAACGTGTCCAGTCTAAAATTTGTTCTATGTTCTCATGAATGCTATTTATGCTCTGTATGTTTTTATTCCGGTAGTCTTCCAGCCAATCCTTCAATTTTTTAACATTCTCATCTACATACTGCTTCGTCTCAACGTTACTCTCATGCAGTAGAAGCTTTACAGCATTTATATTCTCCCCAGATAGCACAGAATGTCCTTGGGATGACCATTTTAGGTCCATATGTCCATGGACTAAAAATGGACATACATCGAATATCAATTACTGGATATAAAAAGGATATCCTGAACTGGACATCACATGGACATCCATTCTTAGATATACAGGGTGTCCCATTTAACCTGACAAATCGTAATACCTCGAAAATACATGTTGGATCAAAAAAGTGGGTAATGAAATTTGTTCGTTTCGAAGGGGGACATTCAATGATATCAAACTCGACCTCCCACCCCACTCCCGGGGGGTGGGGGTAGGGGGCAACTTTGAAATATTAAATGGGAACCCCCATTTTTTATTGCAGATTCGGATTCTGCGCCACAAAATACGTAAGTTTCGTTCGAAACTCTTTTTTTATTCGTGATAGATGGCGCTGTAATCGCAAAAAATTAGATTTTCTGCAATTCTCCAGAAATGATCATTGGATTGAAAAATAAAAAAATACCTGTTCAATATTTTTAAAAATACTTTTAAAAAACATAATAACAGTTATTCCTCCCCCCCATCCCCTCGGGGTAGGGTGGATGGTAACGTTCAAATCTCAAATGAGAACCCACATTTTTCATTGCAGAATTAGATTTTACGTGAAGTTTTTATGGAAACAATTTTTTTCATTTGTGATAGATAGCGTTGAATTTTTCCGAGAAACTACTTTTAGCGTTACCCAGGAACAACGACGAGGACGTAG